AAGTCAGTAAATATTTCTATATAAATATCTAGATTAATTAATTTATCGATCGGTGCATATTTCCTTTAAATCGATTTATTTGGCTATTTAGCTGTACAAGCGTACAAGGAAATAAAATCCTATTTATTCAATACACAAATAAAACACTATTTTTGGAATGGAAATTTTTGTTTTTTCCTTTTTTTATGATTAAACCCTTCTTATAAATTAACAAAAATAGGTAAAATGATAGAATTTTGTCAATTAATATATAATGAAGTGTAAAAAAACGTTGTACACATTGGGACTATTTTAATACCGTGCATAACTGGAGTACACAAAGGGACTATTTTTTTGGCGGAGGCATACACAATCCGGTCGAGTTCCGGTAGATGAGTATCTCACCCAAACGAATTATAATGTATTGAATATATAGATATTGTATAAACATAACTCAATAAACATTTTTAATATTAATTTTACACCTGACCCGCGAGCATGTATATATCACGCTACATTATCCAACTGGTAAGTATTGCAGATTAATATTTTTGTTTATTAATTATATAATTATTTGAATAAGTAAAATTAATGGTAATATTCCTTAATTGTAAAGCATTTCAACAATTCAAACAAGCGAGATTATGACTCGAGTTTTAAACTTTAGTTTAACTCTTTGGGCAAATCAACATCACCGTGGCCCCAGATTTGAAAATGTTTGATATTATGTTAAATTGAATGTTTGATATTGTGTTAAATTTGTTCGGTTAGCGTAAAAAGTAAATATGTTAAAACATTATTATTATGTTTACAGAAATGGCAAGTCCTTCCAGTTCACGGTCAGATATATGGTATCATTTTGAGAAGGTTAAAACTAAAACGGGTACCAAAGGAAAATGTCGTTATCGCCAGAACGAAATAGCAATTACAGGTGGAGCAACGAGTAACTTGAAGAGGCACCTATCCAAGAAGCACGTTACGGTTCCTATAGAGCGTCACGAAGCCCAACAAGAAAACAGGTCTCGATCTCGCTCGGTATTCGCATCCATTTCAGAAGAGGAAGTAGATAATACTTTTAAACAACCACTCGTGCATGATTCGCCTTCTCTTGCCAGTACCTCATCATTGTCAAGCTCTCCAACTATTTCTCTGTCACCTTCTGCACTTTCTACTCCAGTCCCTCAGAGGCAGAACTCTCAAGCCTCTATGACAAGTTTTGTGGATGTATCAAGGCCCATACCACTAAATAGGAGCCGACAAATAGATATTCAACTATTGAAAATGATTTGTTCGGAATATCATCCTTTTAGTTTAGTTGAAGATAAAGAATTTAAAGCCTTTGTAAATATGCTATGCCCAACATACAAATTACCCAGCCGGAAATCTCTATCAAACGGACTTCTGATTTCGATTCACGACTCCCTTGTCGTAAAAATTACAGGAATGTTGGAAGAAGCATATGCTGTATGCCTGACATGTGATGGCTGGACTAACATAAATACCACCAGTTTTTATACCATTACTGCACACTTCATAGACTACACAACAAAATTAAATTCCATTCTTCTCGAATGTTCAGAGTTTCCTCAAAAACATACTGCAGAAAATATATCATCGTTGATTCTTGGTGTAACCAAAAAATTCAAACGATTTTAAAACGGTCGCTGTGGTGACTGACAATGCCCCTAATATCAAAGCTGCAATAAAAACCTTGGGGCTACCTCACCTATCTTGTTTTGCCCACAGTCTTAACTTGGTGGTTCAGAGGTCCATTAATGAGAGTATAAAATCCGCGGTAGATAAGGTAAAATCTATCGTCCAATTTTTTAAACAGAGTTCCCACGCAATGGCCAAATTAAGATAAATGCAAGCTAATCTCTCCACAAAACCATTGAAGTTAAAACAAGACGTTCCAACACGTTGGAATTCAACGTATGAGATGTTAGACCGCATCATGAAAAATCGAGAGCCAGTGATATCCGTCTTGGCTTTGCTCAATCCTATAATTTTGCTGGGGGATAGTGACTGGAAAGTGATAGAGGAATCTATTTCCATATTTTTTTTTTTTTTTTTTTTGAAGTCACTGAGGAAGTTTCCTCAGAACAGAAAATTTCCTTGTCAAAAACATGTATTCTGGCCCAGGGACTGGCAAGGTCTATGAGGCGGACTATTGAAAATGTACCTACCCGAGGAAACAACCTCTCCGAAGAAGTCCTACGATTAGGAAAAAATCTATTAGAAGCCTTATCGAATAGATTTGGGGATAGGTTAAATGTTGAGTTAATCAATCAGGCTATCTTCTTGGATCCACGCTTCAAAAAGCACGGCTTTGGAGAGAACACCAGTCGTTTCTTGGAAGTAAAAAATAAAATTATAGAAAAGATACAGTCCTCTATTCCCGCAACCACAGTCGGCCCTGTGGCACCTGAAGGGGATAGGTTAAATGTTGAGTTAATCAATCAGGCTATCTTCTTGGATCCACGCTTCAAAAAGCACGGCTTTGGAGAGAACACCAGTCGTTTCTTGGAAGTAAAAAATAAAATTATAGAAAAGATACAGTCCTCTATTCCCGCAACCACAGTCGGCCCTGTGGCACCTGAAGTTCGACCAGTATCAGCTTCATCAATTTGGGAAGACTTCGATGCTGCTGTAAATCAATTTACAGCAGCACAAGATCCAAAAGCAAATGCGACAATACAAGTGGACAAGTACCTAGCCGAGCCAATAATCGATAGAAGAATGGACCCCCTAGTTTGGTGGCATGAAAGGAAGACAATTTTCCCCGATTTGTTTCTTTTGATGCAAAAGCGGCTCTGTATTCCGGCCACATCTGTTCCTTGTGAGAGGTTGTTTTCTAAAGCAGGCAATATTTGCACCCAGAAACGGTCTTGCCTAACTTCGTCTAAGATATCAAAAATTCTTTTTTTTAAACCACAATTTCGTGTAATGTAATTTTTTTGTATTTTTTTGTATAATTTTTGAATATTTTTTTTGGCAATTATATTTCATTCATTTTGTAAGCTTTTTGGTTCATTTTGTTTATTTTCCTTATTAATAAAACTGTTATTTTAAGATAATGTTATGTGTATGTTACTTTTAAAATATCCGAAGTTCAATAAAATTTGTGTTAGGTAAATGAACCTTATTTTTTCCCTTGCTACTATTATTGTTTATTGTGTTTATGAAACAACTGATTTGGTGATTTTAATTTTGTTTAGAATAATTTATTCTTCCGGATGCACAAACACCATACAAACGTTAATCTTTTTAATTTTTTTTTATAAAGAATCGACGAATTGATAATAAGAATCGATTCTTTTTGCGGAGTGAATCGATTCTGAATCATTCACTTAAAAGAATCGTTTTGCCCACCTCTACTAGCTAATAATCTCAATCTAAAAAAATATTCAAAACAAGCAATTTTAAGATAACACCATATGTAAAACAGTCGGCCAAGAAAACATATTATCAAATTATAAAACTATTTTTTAGAGGCGTAATATTCTTTTTAAAATAAAACAATTTCTACTGTCCTTACTGCGATGGAAAAATTAAAGGGAGGGCCTGGCTCATCAGTGGTGAACCCTCCCAGCGGTTTCGCCAGTTTAATCTACCATACCGCTGTTATATTGCATTTTTGGAACTTCCTTTTATAGGTGACTGTTGTAAGACTCTTGGAATGGGTATTTTAGAAGAACTATGGACATAAGCTTTTAGGACAGCAGAATTAAATATAATTATAAATATATAATATGCTTCGAGCAATCGCTCTTCCGCAAATATCAAATTGTGTCTTTTATTAGAACAATAATGTTACGATGTATTAGAGCGCCATCTGTTATCAAATTATAAAACTATTTTAGAGGCGTAATATTCTTTTTAAAATAAAACAATTTCTACTGTCCTTACTGCGATGGAAAAATTAAAGGGAGGGCCTGGCTCATCAGTGGTGAACCCTCCCAGCGGTTTCGCCAGTTTAATCTACCATACCGCTGTAAATGCAAATCCAAAAATGCAATATAACAGCGGTATGGTAGATTAAACTGGCGAAACCGCTGGGAGGGTTCACCACTGATGAGCCAGGCCCTCCCTTTAATTTTTCCATCGCAGTAAGGACAGTAGAAATTGTTTTATTTTAAAAAGAATATTACGCCTCTAAAATAGTTTTATAATTTGATAACAGATGGCGCTCTAATACATCGTAACATTATTGTTCTAATAAAAGACACAATTTGATATTTGCGGAAGAGCGATTGCTCGAAGCATATTATATATTTATAATTATATTTAATTCTGCTGTCCTAAAAGCTTATGTCCATAGTTCTTCTAAAATACCCATTCCAAGAGTCTTACAACAGTCACCTATAAAAGGAAGTTCCAAAAATGCAATATAACAGCGGTATGGTAGATTAAACTGGCGAAACCGCTGGGAGGGTTCACCACTGATGAGCCAGGCCCTCCCTTTAATTTTTCCATCGCAGTAAGGACAGTAGAAATTGTTTTATTTTAAAAAGAATATTACGCCTCTAAAATAGTTTTATAATTTGATAACAGATGGCGCTCTAAAACATATTATATAAATATATAATGTAACGAATATTATTATCATAATATTCTGTGTGTTCAGCAATATTATTATCAATAATTTTCGTTAGGCAAACTTTCACTCGGATAAAACCCGGGCGAAGCCGGGTACACATCCGCTAGTAGATAATATAAATGAGTTTTAAAAATTGTAAAAAAAAGATGCATCGGCCCGGAGTCGAACCCGGGCCGCCCGTGTGGCAGGCGAGCATTCTACCACTGAACCACCGATGCTTATAAGAAATGGCCATATTTGGATATTTATTCCATTCACAAAAGCAAACGGTGACATAATTGATTGATGACTGGTAAATATAATGCTAGATTATGTTAGCATAGTCAGTATTCCCATGGTCTCCAGCGAAGAGGTGTGAATTGACTTTTGAAAATATACATAATTGTAAAGATAGAAGCTTCTATAGAAATAACTAAAATAAACCGAAATAGCTCAGTTGGGAAAGCGTTAGACTGAAGATCTAAAGGTCCCTGGTTCGGTCCTGGGTTTCGGCATCTTTTTTTAATTTTTAAAACGATGACAGAATTGATGACTCTGATACTTGTATATATGATTTTTAAATTTTTACTTACCGTAACTTGACACCTGACTTAACGTGACAGAATTGTGCATGACTCTGATAACTGTATATATTAATGTGAAAGAAAAATTAAAAATATATAAAAGGTCAGGCGTTGATATGCATACATAGGTAAAAAATACGGGGAAGACGATAGGCTATTTTAAAAAATACTAGCCGAATGACCCGGGCAACGCCCGGGTTTTACCCGATTAAATGCTTTTATTCAAATACTATCCGTTACAATTATAAATTGGCGCCGTGGATATCATTCTTGTATAATATACTAGCCGAATGACCCGGGCAACGCCCGGGTTTTACCATATTGAATGTACCCTATTCAAATACTATTCGTTACAATTATAAATTGGCGCCGTGGATGTCGCTCTTGTGAAACGTCCCGCTCCAAACTTTGTGTCTGAGAAGCGATATTTTTATAGAAAGATGATCTGGCTTTTGTTTTCTGCTCGAATGAATGTTTTTCTGTTAGAAATTTGTTCCTGCATACAGAATAATGAACTGGTTTCACCCGTGGTCTCTGCTTTTTGGAATTTTTCCCGATATAATTTTGTATCTGATAATCAAACATGATACAGCAATATCGTCATCATCATTTTCTGACTAAAAATATATAGTTTTAATAATTGATTTATATATATTTTAAAATAGCCTATCGTCTTCCCCGTATTTTTTTACCTATGTATGGAAATTTTGGTTTGAATTAGTGAACTACTGCGAATTTGTATACCGGACATACAAACAGACAGACAGACAAACAAACATACAAACATTCATTTTTATATATAGAGAGATATAAATCAATTATTAAAACTATATACAAAATTTTACACATATAAATTTACTGGCAATGCGTTTCTTTTAAATATCATCAAATATTATCTCTACAGACCTTACTGCAATGATATGAGTTATTGAATGAGAGGGCTTGGCTCATCAGTAGTGAACCCTCTCAGCGGTTTCGCCAAATTAATCTCTAGACCGCTCTACTATTTTATTGGATTAGTTTTCTTATATACCCTGTATTTTCTATGGAAGGCAGCTTAGGGGATTTTTAGATTAGATATTAGATTATAAAATACAGGGTATATAAGAAAACTAATCCAATACAATAGTAGAGCGGTCTAGAGATTAATTTGGCGAAACCGCTGAGAGGGTTCACTACTGATGAGCCAAGCCCTCTCATTCAATAACTCATATCATTGCAGTAAGGTCTGTAGAGATAATATTTGATGATATTTAAAAGAAACGCATTGCCAGTAAATTTATATGTGTAAAATTTTAACGATAGAGATGGCAATTAAATTTAATTTACTAAAACTATATACAGTATTCAAATTATTCTACTTATCTCACGAACAGCGCCCTCTATCAAAGATTAGATCAAATTATGCTGATGCAAACAAATAGATAATGCTAATAACAAACAATTATTTAAAAAATCTTATCAAAATATATATCACTCGGGTAGATATGCACACGGGTCAATCCCGGGGCGAAGCCCGGGTCACCCGTCTAGTTAAAAATAAAAAAGACATATCCTGACCAGGATCACATGAGCATTTCTAGTTAAATAAACGTTTAGTTTATTTTTGCTACACTAGAGGGCGCTATGCCATCTAAAAAGCACATGTGCTCGTGGTCAGGAAATGCCTTCTTCATTTTTAATATCAACACCTGACCCCTATATATATATACAGTTAAACCTGTCTATAGCGCCCCCTCTTGGGACTCGCCAAAATAGGGTGCTATAGAGAGGGGGTGCTATAGACAGGTCACTTTTAATGTAAATCTCATCGTACTACATATTTAAAATCGGGCGCTATAGAGAGGGAGGCGCTATTTAGAGGGGGCGCTATAGACAGGTTTAACTGTATATGTTTGTCGGCTATGCACGTCCTCAATACGTACCTAATATGGTTCAAATTTTAACAGGAAAAGAGGTTTTCACCACATTTTCAACCAAGCAAAATTAGTATTAACCAAATATTGGCCACCAATATATTAATAATACCAATATAAAAATTATTATGATAATATTGCTTCTTTCGATGAATATTCACTAAAGCAGAACACGAGCGAAACCCAGACATCATTTTTAGTAGGCAGGAACAAGAGTCTAACAGCAAAACATTTCTCGAGCAGAATACAAACCAGGTCAATTAATGTTTCAAACATAGAGAGAGATATTTATAACCCAGGAGCGCCAACTACCCAGCTCACTAGTATGGTTTGAGTTATCACTACAGTACTTACGCCGCTTAAGACAATTGGTTGGAGAAAGCAAAGCCATCAGTGAAACAACATTAAAAATGCTATGGATGCAACGTTTACCTCAAAACATCCAAATAATTCTGACAACGCAAGAGCAAGCAACACTAAACTCTCTAGCAGATTTAGCTGATAGAGTGATGGAGCTTACTTCTGCGCCATCTTCAAGTACTTCGACTTTAGAAAAGGAACTGGCATCTTTGCGTGCGGAATTTTCAGCACTACAAATTGATCTTAACAAGAAGGAAGAAAGAATATCTCGTTCAAGACCCAGAAGCCCATCTTCCTCTCGAAATTCTTCCCCAAAAATAGATTTAGTGGTAATGAATGAGCCATAACATTCATAACATCCTACGTGAGGGATAATGAAATCGGTTGAATTGGTTAAAAAGGCGTGTAAGATGGTGAAGTGACAAGGGCCGATTTTCAAGCTAGAATACAAAAAAAAATTGCGTGAGAGGATGATTTTATATTAAAATAATGCATTTTGAGTCATTATCCCAGAACAAAATGTGGCTCATTCGGTATCACCAACTCTTTACGTTTTGTACCGAGGTTGTACTGTGGGTTTATTATTTCAATGTATTTTAAAAGGGAGAAGTGCCACCTTTGGTACGTGAATATTATTCTCCCGTAACTATACATATATGTTGAATCTTTTCAGCTATTTTGCCAGTTTAATATCCAAACCGCTCTACTATTGTATTAGTATGAATTTGTGATATACTCTCTGTGTTTATTATAGGGGCTATATTGTAGATGGGTATTTTAAGAGAAATATAGACATATGATTCTAGGACTTTAGATCTGCAGTTCATCTTTTAGATATACAATTAAAGAACGGCTTATACATCGAAAATGTATGTGTTTGTTATAACAGAAAGAAACTTATTGTTATTTTTATTGTAATTTTCTACGAAATTCTCAGATAAAATCTTGGCGGCAATGGTAGATAAATCTTTTTTTTTTTTTCTTAATCTAGTGCTTTTTTTTTTCTTACTACGGGAATCTATAAAAAAAGAGGTCAGAAGAATACCTATAATCTATGTATATATTTTTCTATCAATATTTCTCATTTAACTTTATAAATTATATTTTATTTCTTGAATTATTTTCCTCTGCCCCTTTTCTGTATATCTCTTCAGATGCAGATATCTCTTCTGAATCTGTTTACAAGACTAAATGTTACCAATTTATTGATATACTTTCGAATTTAAAAAAGGTCAATAAACTGAAGCGATTTTTCAATCAAATTTTTAAAGTATATGTTTATAAATTGTTTACTTAAGTTATTAAACCTAACAGGTATTTGTTTATACCTTTTTGTAATGACTTTTCAGATCAAAAGTAAATTACATTTTCTCAAAATACCCTAATATTTACTTTCATATTTTGTGGAGAAATAATTTCTTATACATTGTGCAAAGATGATAAACTACTTTATTAATTAAATTTTCAAAAATGTATATATTAATTTACATGAAAATTAAGAATAGAAAAATTAATATATAAATAACAAATTAATACAACTTCTATTTTAAAATAATATTAAAATGATGGCGAAAAAATTCGGAGATTCTATTAAAAAATCTTAAGAAATTTGCTTGGTAGTATTGGAAGTTACGAGAGCAAAAGTATTCATTATTTTCATCAATGTCATGTTCTGCTTTCATGGTACTTAGGAGTTGGTGAAATTCTGCGTAGATCGTAATGCATCTTGGAAAACCAACAGGATCTTTACTTATTCTAGGTGCCTGAAGACCATATAATGAATTTGCCCTTACAATGGAAGAATGGATTCTTAAAACATGCAGGGCGTTGTTGTAAGGATTGAATTGCTGCTGGACATCTTCTCTTCTGACTTTTGCAATCCCAAAATCAATCAGTTTAGCATAGAATCTAAAAGTTGGAATAGTAATATTCTCTTCACCTACTTGATAAACAATTGATTTGTTTCGAGTTGGAAAAATCAAGATATTTCTAGTGTGGATATCATTATGAACAAGCTGAATTCTTTCTTCAGCGTGAGCTAGCAACAGACAGATCTGACATAAAATGCTTACCAGATGGTGAGTACCAAGATCCCAATGTACCAACGCTGTTTGTAGAGTCTCTCCTCCATAGGGCATACAGAAAACCGCAAATAAACTATAAACACTACAATCTTCACGAGAGTTTCTCCAGAATCGACTTCGACAGAAGTATTTTTCAAAATTCTGGAACTTGTCTATATCACTATAAACTAACCAGAAACATATGGGATAGCAAAGATTGACTTGTACACTCTCTAAAGTCTTAAGAGCATCCCAGACAATTATTTCATCTTCAATATCTTTTATACAAACTGGTCGAGTGTACACTCTCTCATAATAATGCTCAAACCCAGGTTTTCTGAAATCTGATATTTGAACGATCCGGTAGATTGAAGCATTTTTGTTTCTTTTTGGTTCTCTGAAGCATTTCGCATATGCGCCTCTTCCAAAAGGCTCTAATTTCTTTCCTCTGAAGATATCTTTGAATCGATATATCGTCTTTCCAGAGCAACGGTCTAAAAGATTACGAAGTTTGTCTTGGTTGATATCTAAATGCCTTGTTTTAGACATTGTATATTACTACTACATTTAGATAAAACTATTATTATATAAT